AATCAGGTGCTTATCAAATTCCATTTTGTAGGCCATGACTTAATTTTTCTCAACCATATTCTCAAACAGTGCATTCCAGAGCCTAAGCACTGACTGTGTAGAAAGGCTTTGCTTCATGTTGCCTATTGGTTCTTTTTTTTGTCTTTTGTCTTTGTTTCTAATCAGTATCTTCTGTTTTTGGCTCAGAAAAGATTTACAAGGATCTTGCTGGGCTTGGTGTTTATGAGCTATCGGAAGAGGCTGAATAGGCTGGGGCTATCCTCCCTGGAGCATCAGAGGCTGAGGGGTGATCTTTATAGAAGTTTATAAAATCATGAGGGGCATGGATAGGGTGAATAGCCAAGGTCTTTTTCCCAGGATAGGGGAGTCCACAACTAGAGGGCATAGGTTTAAGGTGAGAGGGGAAAGATTTAAAAGGGACCTGAGGGGCAACAATTTCCTTTTATATTTGTACCATCCCAATAGTAATCGGTAATGCAGAGGTTATAGATAATGATAATTCCTCCCTAGAGGAAAACCTGGAGAGGGTGATGGATGTATGAAAAGAGCTGCTGTGGAGGCTGGTACAATTACCCATCCAGATGCCTTTTCAATGTTGTATTTGAATAAGAAGGGTTTAAGAGGGATATGGGCCAAATGCTGGCAAATGGAACTAGATTAATTGCGATATCTGGTCAGCATGGACGAATTGGACCGATGGGTCTGTTTGCGTGCTCCACATCTGTGGCTGTATGACTCTGAAGGATGAAAGTTTGTAAGGGGGACGGGGGGAATTTAAAAGATAATATTAGGACAAAAACCACGTCCTACCATATTGCAAAGGTGGGTGGCAGGCAGAAACTCTAGGAAACTTTTGAAGATCAACAAAAGGTCAACTTTAAAATATGTAATAAAAAGAGCAAAGGTAAATTATGAAAGAAAACTGATGGAAAACCTAAAAATGGATAGCAAAAGACCTATACGTATATAAAAGGGAACAGAATAGCTGAAGTGAATGTTGGTCCCTAGGAGGATGACAGTAGGGAATTAATAATGGGGAACACAGAAATGGCAAAGTCACTAAATCAATATTTTGCTACAATTTTCATGGCAGAGGATATAGATCATAAAATATGGAAGCAGAAGTAGGCCATTCGGCCCATTGAGTCTGCTCTCCAATTCAATTATGCTAATGGTCTTCTCAATCCCATTCTCCTCAACCTTTGATCCCATTACTAATCAAGAACCTATCGAGCTCTGGCTTAATGACAGTCAATGATTTGGTCTCCTTCTGTGGCAATGAGTTCCACAGATTAACCACCCTCTGGCTGAAGAAATTCCTCCTTATCTCAATTCTCAAGGGTCATCCCTTCAATCTGATGCTGTAACATCAGGTCCTAACCCCTCTTACTAGTGGAAACCTCTTCACATCCACAGTATCCAGGCCTCTTGGTATCCTGAAAGTTTCAATGGGATCCTCCTTCATCCTTCTAAACTTCATTGAGTCTATCACTACTCCTCATGACATCCCTGGGATCATTCTTGTGAGCCTCAACCCCCTCCAAGGTTATCACATCCTTCCTTAGATAACAGGGCCCAAAACTGCTGACAATATTCCAAATGTGGTCTGGCCAGAGCCTTATACAACCACAGCAGTACATTTCTGCTCTTGTATTCGTAGCCCTCTTGAAATGAATGTTGACATTGCATTTGCCTTCCTAACTGTCAACTGAAGCTGCATTTTAACCTTAAGAGAATCCTGAACCAGGTATCATAAGTCCCGTCGTGCTTCAAATTTCTGAAGCCTTTTCCCATTTAGACCGTCGTCAGTGCCTCTATTCGTCCTACCAAAGTGCATAACCTAACACCTTCCTGCACTGTATTTCATCTGTCTCTTCTCTGTCCACTGTCTCAGCCTGCCCAAGCCCTTCTGCAGCCTTCCTGCTTCATTAACACTACCTGAGCTTCTACTTTGTGGCATCTGCTAATTTAGCAATAATGGCCTCAGTTCCTGCATCCATGTCCATGTGCAACATGAATAGAATGGTCCCAACACTGATCACCTGTGGACCCCCACAAGTCAATGACTGCCATCCTGAAAAAGACCTCCTTATTCCCACATACCGCCTTCTTCCAGTCAGCTAATCCTTTTTATATTAGTACCATCGGAATAGTAATTAGTAATGCAGAGGTTATAGATAATGATAATTCCTCCCTAGGGGGAAAAAGCACTGAGCAAATTCTTGAGCTTGAAGGCCAACAATTCCCCAGGGCCTAATGGTCAGTATCTTAAGGTCTTAAAGGAAGTGGTAGCAGAGATAGTGAATCCATTGATTTTATAATATTCCAAAATTCCCTGGGTTTGGGGCAGGTTCCAGTGGATTCAAACAGTGCTAATAACCCTTATTCAAAAAAATGGGGGTAGCAGGAAGTAGGAAACGGTAGACCAGTTAGTCTAACGTGTTGTTGGGAGATTCATTGTTAAGTAGTATCAGGTCATTTGGAAAGCAAAACACAATCCATAAGTGTCAGCATGGTCTTATGAAAGGTAAATCATATTTGACTAATTTGCTAGAGCCCTTTTGAAGATGTCGCAAACAGGGTAGATAATGGGGATCCCGTAGATGTGTGTCCGGACTTCCAGAAGGCGTTTGATAAACTGCCGAATGAAATGTTAACACAAAGTAAGATCATGTGGAGTGAGGGGTAATTTATTAGCATGGTTAGAGGATTGGCTAACTAACACAATAAACAATGGTCTTCTGGTTGGCAAGCTGTAGCTAGTGGGGTGCCAAAGGATTTGGTTCTTGGGCCCCAATTATTTGCAATCTATATAAAAGACTTAGATGCAGGGACAGAAGCTTCTGTAGGTAAATTTACAAATGACATTAAATTGGTAGGAAAATAAGTTTCAGTGAAGAAATAATAAACTTACAAATGGATATGTATAGGTTAGGTGAATGGGCCAAAATTTGGCAGATGAAGTTTAATTTCTATAAGTGTGAGGTGATCGATTTTTGATTGAAGGAATAGGAAGGCAGTTTATCTAAATGGAGAGAAAATTCAGTGCTACGGTGCAGTGGGATCTGAGTGTTCTTGTGTACCAGTCACAGAATACTAGTATGCAGGTACAGCAGGCAATAAGGGAGGCAAGTAGAATTTTGGCATTTATTGCTAAAGAAATAGTGTATAAAAATAGGAAAATGCTTCTGTGACTGTGCAAGGCATTGGTGAAACTGTACCTGGAGTATTGCGTACAGTTTTGGTCTGCTTACTTGAGAATGTAGTAGCATTGGAGGCAGTTCAGAGGAGGTTCATTAGGTTGATTCCAGAGATGGAGTTTGAAGAGAAATTGAACACTTTAGGACTTGGCTCTCTGGAGTTTAAATGAATGAGAAGAGATTCCGTTAATGTGATTAAAACACAAAAGGGGATTGACAAAGACAACCTAGAGAGTATATTTCCTCTTTGGGGCAATCTAGAACAAGAGGTCATAGTTTTGGGATAAGGGGTAACAGATTTAAAACACAAAGAAAAATGACTTCTCTCAAATAGTTGTGAATCTGTAGAATTCACTGTCCCAAAATGTTGTGGATGCTGTAAAATTGAGTAAGTTTAAGGAGGGTGAGAAAGACTGACTGATTTTTAAAAATAAAAAAAAAATCAGTAATGGGTTAAAGAGTTGTGGGGAGCAGGCAAGAAAATGGAGACTGAGATGAGATCAGCAGTGATCGTATTAAATGGCAGGGCAGGCTTGAGGGATTGAATTGCTTACTCCTGCTCCTTATCTGGTGTTTTAAATTGCCTAGTGAGGTGCTCAGTTGTATGTCACCACTGCAAACTGGACAAACCAACCAGGAGTCAAAAAGACGGCATACCCCAAAAAGTCGCATGGTACAAGTCAGAAATGGGTAAGGAAAACTGCTGATACTAACCTTCTTGTTCCTGCTGGCTTGATGGATCTATACTCCTCCATGTTGAACACCAACACTATAGTCATTGAGTATTTGTGACAATAAAGGCTATTCTGTTCTACATTCTGGCAACAGTACTGAAAACACACACTTCAGAACTAAGCAGCCTCCTAGCCAAGCTGTTCCAGTACAGCTACAATTCTGGCAATCTACCCTAGAATATGGAAAATTGCCAATGTATAACCTGTCCACAAAAAGCAGGACAAATGGAACTCGGCCAATTACAACCCCATCAGCTTCTGATGGTGATTTCTATCCCTTTGCTATCAAGCAGCACCTGCTCAGTAATGCCAATATAGTGGGCCACTCGGGTCCCAACCTCATTACAGCTTTGGTTCAAACATGGGCAAAAGAGCTGAATTCTAGAGGCATAGACAATGACTGTCCTTGACATTTAAGGTGGCATCTGACCAAATGTGGCAACAAGGAGACCTAGCAAAACTGAAACCAATAGGAATGGAGGAAGATTTCACTGATTGGAGTCATACCTGAGACAAAGGATAATATTGTGCTTGTTGGAGTCCAGACACCCCAGTCCCAGGGCATATCTGCAGGAGTGACTGTCCCTCCAAGTCAGAGTGGGATGTTCACTGACTATAGAATCCCAACAGTGTGGAAGGAGGCCATTCAGCCCTTTGAGTCCATACCGATTCTCTGAAGAGTATTCCACTTTCGAAACTGAAAAATTTATTCCAAAAACTCTTTTTCATGGAGTCATGTAATTTTAAAATCATTAGGTCTTCTCTAAATGTGGAAGAGCAAAGAGAAGAACTCCAGTTCTCCATTCCATCCATGTAACATCATTCCTAAAACAATTCTCACATATTTTCTGTACCTTTTTCTAATGTTTTTCCATTATTCTGAAATGCAGTGCCCTGAATTGGTCAAACTATTCCAACTGGGGTCTAGTACTTGAGGGGACACAAGCGGTCTGAACCGATTCCGTTTCTTCTCTTGATGTTAAGTTTATGGCTGATAGTATGCTTGTTCTGTGAAAACCTGTCTGCATTTCCAGAATTTCATTAACACAGCTTTTGTTTCTTCCAGACATTTCTAGCACCCGTCAACCAGGTTTTTCCTGCAGAAGAAGATAATGAAAAGGATGTAGAAGATAATTGTAAGTAGGAAATGTGAGCTCTGGAACGCTTAATACTTATTTTTATCTGTCTGCCTGCCACATCTTTGAGTGCAAGATTTGTGCTGACTTTTGACAGTTTGAACATTCTGCTCAATGTAAACCATACTACAATTACACAACATTTGATGACCTTCACATATTTCACGGAAGCAATCCCATTTGTTTGTTTCGGTTTTCTAAAGCACACCATTAGTCATTTTTGATATGAATCATATCATAGAATCCCTACAGTGTGGAAGCAGGCCCTTCAGCCCAACAAGTCCACATCGACCCTCAGAGCATCCCACCCAGACCATCCACCTAATCTACACATCCCTGAACATTATGGGCAATTTAGTATGACCAATCCACCTAGCCAACACATCTTTGGACTGTGGGAGGAAACTGAAGGAAACCCACGCAAACACTGGGAGAATGTACAAACTCCACACGGACAGTCGCCTGAGGGTGGATTTGAACCCAGGGTCCCTAGCGCTGTGAGGCAGCAGTGCTAACCACTGAGCCGCTGTGCCGCTCCTAATTTGGTTAGAGATTGATTGTGAATTAATATTTAACTAATTTATATCTGACAATTTTCCATAAATATGGAATCATTATATTTCAAAGGAATGTAATTTACTTCCCACACTTGGACTCTATGATTGACCAAATATGCTTGCAATCTGAGATTAGTTCTTCAGTGACTCCAACTGAGATCAGGAGCTTTCCAGAGAGAACAGAAGTAGTAAACAGTATCTTGCTATTGTACGTAGGATGGAATGAAGGAACACGGCCTACAATTTGAAGACCTGGTTTTTAACAAACTGCTATGTTTAATTCTCATTAGCTTGATATTAAGTGGAACAGCTCTTACCACATTAAAAGTAAAGCCAACATTGTCTTCCTGGACCACAAGGTTGCGCTCTCTCGTTAGAGAGAGATGACTAATGATGGTTTAACCTGAGGGTCACCATTTCTTAGAGAGAGGTTGAGAATGCCAGTCCTTCATGGTGACCTCAGCCAATGTGGGAATTGGACCCATGCTGTTGGAATCACTCTGCATCACAAACCAGCTGTCCAGCCAACTGAGTCAAGCTCAGTAAAAATAGTGTAACAAATGGTACCTCATTTTCTCCTTGACATACTGCACACAACCTATTAATAATTGTCATATGTGTTTCTTGCTAACCACATTAGTGTGTGAAACATTGAGTGTTTTATTTTATAGTAACATAAGGTGCATCATTGGTTGAAAGTTGCTAGAAGTTGGCATGGATACCTAGGCTGCCTAATTGTACGTTATGCCATTTTTATAAAGTAAAGATATTGGGAAGAGATGAGTGATGTTTCTGCCTTCAGATCTGCACAGTCAAATTCATATATATGTAAGTTATATTTTCTGTTGATTTAAGATTTAGCAGGCTTCCTCTTGACTTAATTTGGACTGATGCAAATATTCCTCTTGGAGCTCTCTGGATTTATACCTGTTGCTACCATATTTCTCATATAATACTGTTTCTTGGGTTTGGAAGAGGAACTCTTGTTCTCTTAATGTAGGGATTACAATGCTGCATTTTTGGTTTATGTAAACTATTATTCTTTTTATGCTTTACTGTACATCAAAATGGTTTTAGTAGCGGCTTCAATTATTCAAAACAGTAGCCAACTAATTTATAATATGGGGCAGCTAACTTTTCGAGCAACCCAAAAAGCTGGTGAAAGGCTAAATCGTCTTCAGGAAACTGGATTGGATAATGGCATAGAAATTTACATATCCAAATTTGTTGATGACATAAAGTTGGATGGGATTGTAGACTGTGTAGGTGATAGCATAAAATAGCAAAGGAATATTGTTAGACTTGTGAATGGATAGAACTTGCAGATAGAGTTCAGTGTAAATGTGAGGTTATCCGTTTTGGACTGAAAAAAGAATAAATCGGGGTACTTTCTAGATGGTATGAAGTTAAATACAGTCGATTTTGCAAAGAGACTTGGGGGTGTATAGATCTTCAAAATGTCATGAACAGATACAGAAAATAATCAAGAAGGCTGATGAAATGTTGGCCGAAGGATAGGTGGAGATGGAGCCTGGAGAAAGAGAGAAGAGAACGATTAGGCAGACAGATTGTTGATTGTAAGTCAGGGAAGAAGAAAAGCTGATAAGTGAAAATGGGTTGGCTGTGCTGAAAGCAACCCATGTCATGATAGGACCTGGAATTGTGGTGGTGGGTAATTGGCATGGAAGGTGTCCATGCTGTGAGTTTATTAAACTAGATATTGAGTCCTGAAGGCTGTAATGTCCCCAAATGGAAGATGTGTTGTTCCTCCAGCTTGTGTTGAGCCTCACTGGAGCATTACAACAGACGGAAGATAGAAATGTTGGAATGGGAACACTAAGGTGTGTTGAAGTGCAGAGTCATTTTTACAGACAGAATGCAAGTGTTTGGTGAAGTGGTTATGCAGTTTGCGTTTTGTCTCCCCAGCGTACAAGAAACCACATTATGAGCAGTGAATACAACAGACTAGATTGAGTGAAGTACAGTAAATCACTGCTTCACTTAGGTGAGTGTGAGGCCTTTTACAGTAAAGAGGGAGAAGGTAAATGGGCACGTGTTACACCTTCTGCAATTGCAAGAGAATATGTCGTAGTGTGTTTTGAGAAGATTTGTGAGTAGAGGAGCAATGGACCAGGGCATGCCAGAGTGAATGGCCCTGCTGAATTCTGACCAGGGAGGGGAATGTGTCCAGTGGGCTTGGTGGGGGAAGAGTTGGTGAGCCTGTAAAGTGGGAATAAAGGGGTTGTGGAAGGAAGCGAAGAGAAGATGTGAGAAATGGAGAGGGATGGTCTGTGTGAGGAAGGTGGGCAAGTGAGGGTCTGCAACAGTTTTAAACTTTTCAGCAAAGAAATGGTCATCTAACTGGGAGCAGGAACGTTGCAGCAATGAAAGATAGGTAGAGAAAACATAGAGGAGGAAGTTGTAAGGAAGTTACAGATAGGTTGATTTGACAAAATCTGGTAGATGGAGTATAATGTGGGAAAATATGAAGTTGTTCACTTTGTCAGGAAGAACTAAAAAATTACTTCAATAGAAAATGGCTTCAGAATTCTGAGGTGGAGGGGGATTAAGGTCTTCTGATGAATGAGTTACAAATGTTAGTATGCAGGTACAGCACGTAATGAAGAAGGCTAATGGGATGCTGTTCTTTAATAGGTGAGGAGTTGAACCACTGTTTGTAACAGGGCTCTTTTGGCGCAGAGGTAGAATCCCTACCCCTGGACCAAGAGGCCTTAGTTCAAGTCCTACCTGCTGCAGAGGTCTGGTTTTAAAAAAAAAAAAATAACAAAAATCCCTGAACACATTGATTAGAAACTTTTGGTTTTATTAAACCCATTTAAGGATGTTATGATTCACTTGTTCAGGACATTGGTGTGACTACACCTCATACTGTGTGCAGTTGTGGTCTCCTTATAAAAGGAAGAATGTAACTGCTTAGGAGGCAGATCCAAGGTGGTTTACTAGACTGAAACCTGGGATGAGTGTGTTGCCTTATGCGGATAGGTTGGACAGGCCGGGCTTGTTTCCATTGGACTTTAGAAGAGTGAGGGGTGACTTGATTGTCCAGAATCTTCAGAACTTTGTATGCTTCAGCATGGATGTAGAAAGGATGTTCCGTCTTAGGGATGAGTCCAAAGCTAGGGGACACTGTTTAAAAATTGAGGTCATCCTTTCTAGGACAGAGAGAGGAGATAATATTTTCTGATGTGTGAGAGACTTTGGAACTCTGAATTAGAAGGTTGGGGAGGTGGAGTCATTGAATATTATTAAGGTGGAGATAGATTCTTGTTGGTCAAAGAAATTGGGTTAATTGGAGGCGGATGGGAATGCGGAATTCGAAGCAAACCAGATCAGTCAAGGTGATATTAGATGGCAGAGCAGGCTCAAGGAACTGAATGGTCTGCTTCTATTTTTTTTAAATGTTTATTTGTTTGTGGAGTTTCCAGATTAAAGCTGCGGGGTTTCAGGAGCAGCTGTTTTGGGGGGAAATATAGGGAATGCCATTTATATGCAGTGACTGTATTCAAAACAAATATCCAAGAGTTTGGCCATGACATCACTAGTTGTATGAAGCTGTGGAACCATAAAAAAATTTACAACTCAGGCCATTCAGCCGATCATGTCTCCACCAGATGAATGAATAGTCACCCATCCTAATCCAGTTTTCAGTAGTTAGTCTGTAGCTTTGAAGGCTGTAGCACTTCACATGCACATCCATTACATCCCTGCATTTGTATCTACTAATTCATTCATTCTCAGAAGGAAAGTATCCCAAAGCCGCCTTTACCACCTTGTTTGCCTGTCCTGCCACCTTCACGGACCTGAGGACATGCAGTCTGTGTTTTCTCAGCTCTTCTATTTTGAATGCGTTGAGGGTTTCTGCATCAACCATAAAATTGGGTGGCAATTTCTAGACTTTCTAATGTCCCCTCTTTTCCTTCTATCAATCACCTTAAATTTGTGCCACTTGGAAATTGGCCTCTCTGCTGGAGATACAGGTCCACTCTATGCTAACCTTCATTATTTGTAGGCCTCAGTTGAGTCACTCCTCAGTCTTCCTGTTCTAAGTAAAACCACCTTAGCCTGTCCAGTCTTTCAGAATAGCTGTAATTTAGGCCTGGTAACACTTTTTTTGTAAATCTCCTCTACTGTTTCTAGAACAACTACTTCCTTTCCGTAATACGTTCTACACACCACTAGCTGTTACCTGATCAGTGACTTGTATTACAGCATTACATCCCTGCATTTGTATTCAGTACTTCACTCTGTGAAGGAAAGGACCCCAAATGCCACCTTTGCCACCTTATCTACCTGTCCTGCTACCTTCAGGAACCTGAGGGCAAGTTGGCTCACCTTTTTCTACCCCTTTCAATATGTTCCCTTCATGTTTTAGGTTGCAGCTTGAACTCAAGTTTCAATATATATTTATTCATTTGAGACTATAATGAAGCAACAGTCAAGGTAACGCAGGGCACTTTATTAAACTTATAAAGTAATATTTATCAAAGCAAGGCAGCAACTTTTATGGGCTTAATACAGTTCTTGCTTTTCAGTTTAGCAATATAAATACTTAGTCTCTGGTCTCTCTCCAGCATCTCTGGGGTCCTCTGTTTCTGACTAGACAGCAGGTTCTACAAACTTCATTTTCAAACTTGCTACCTATTTTGGTCATTCAAAGCTAGTGCTTATTAACTCTTTCCAAACCATTACCCAGAGCAAGATAAATGTCATTATAACATTCCAGGTTTACAGCCCAATCAGGGTGCTTCCATTCTATGATTTCCACCTGGCTGACCTTATTCCAATCACACAATCATTTTGTAATATTCTCCTTGAATGTTTAAGGATAATGACTTGCATGTTGCCACATCCTTGTGATTGATAGCCTGAGTCTATTCTCTGTTTTTGCTTAGTTTGTAAGAGTCCCTCATTAAATCAAATATCTTATCATAAATCTTCATATTTAAGAAGTCATCTTCAAGGTGATGGTTTCTCTTTCTGTTGTTGAGAATGCCTCAAACAAATTTCTTCACTTTTAAGACAGGCTACAGTGGAAGAGTTGTTTATAAATGTAAAACTATATGTACCTAATAGAAATGATCACATTTTACTAATAAAGAAAATTACAAAGTGGGCCGTATTTAAGTTATGTAGTGTATAGAATATACTTTCATTATGAAGTGTGTAAAGGGTGAGGAAGTGTGATGGCCTTAAACATTGTCAATACATAGTCTTGAGTGATTAGATGTCTAAAGTACTATTTAGTTATTAACTTAAACACATTGTTTAAAAATTCCAATAAAGATTATATTTCTGTAATTGCTGCTTTTCTAAAACACCACATTACCTTTTGTATCAGAGATAGTAGGAACTGCAGATGCTGGAGAATCCCTCTCTGCTATGATGCTGCTTGGCCTGCTGTGTTCATCCAGCCCTGCACCTTGTTGTCTCACATTACCTTTTGTTTTGGTTTACAAAGTACAGTCGCTTTTGTTTTTTTTCTCAAACTCCCTTCCTGTAATAAATCCTCCTAGCTTTCTTTTATTGAGCATTTAACAAATTGAGAGGATGTGAGCTCAATCAACCACAAAGGTTAAAAATTCTTGCACGGCAGTCGTGTGAAATCCCAGGGTAAATTATTAGATTAATCAATGAATATACTCTGTATGATTAAAGTAATCTAAGCTAATTATGAAATCGCAATCTTGCTTTTAATCCTGCATCCTATTTATTGTAAAGTTTCCTTTCGTTGTTCGCCCCGCCCAAGTGCATTACCTTGTACTTCTCCTGATTTGAATTCCATTAGCCACTTGTCCACCCACTCAACCAAGCCCTTGATATCATCCTGCAGTCAACAGCCACTATTGGCTCTTTACTATAAACTACACGGCTAAGTTTTGTCTGTGCAAATTTCCCAATCGTGCTTCCCACATTTAAGTCTAAATCAATAACGTATGCCACAGACAGGAAGGACCCCAACCCAGAGTTAGCTGGAACACCACTGGAAGCTGCTTTCCGTTTGCAAAAATACCTGCCAATCACTACCTTGATAAACGAAGCAGGAAAGTTGGCATTTTGGGTTCATCAGATCCTGTTGAAGGGTCGAGATCCAAAACCTCGACTTCCCTGCTTTGATGTTGCCTGACCTGCTGTATTTCTCCAGCTTCACATTTTATCAACTCTGACTTTCAGGATCTGCAGTCCTTACAATCTGCCAGTCATTGCCCTTTTTATTTTCAGCCTCAGCTAATTTTGGATCCAGCCCACCACATTCCCCTAGGGGCTTTAATTTTTCTGACCAGTCTGCTGTGTGAGACTTTGTCAAATACCTTAGCAAATAGTAGATCGCATCCGCTGTACTATTCACATCAATCCACCTTGTTACTTGCTCAAAAAATTCAATCAAGTTAATAAGACATGTCCTTCCCTTAACAAAACCATGCTGACTATCCCTGATTAATCCGCAACAATAAGTATCAGTTCATCCTATCTCTTAGTATCAATTCTCATAATTTGCCCTCTGCAGAGGTCAGACTGACTGGCCTATAATTATTTGGCTTATTCCTCGCAGTCTTGAGTAATTCTCTAACATTCACATACTGCTAGTGTGCTGCTACAATGCCTGTGTCTAACGAGGATTGGAAGATGGTCCTCAGAGCACAAGTTATTTCCCCCCCTGGTTTTCTTCAACAGACTAGGATAAAGTTTTTTATTTTTTTTCATTCATGGAATAAGTGTTGCTGCCTAGGCCAGCATTTATTGCTCATCACTCATTAAGAAGACTGTTAAGAATTTGAAGTCACATTTAGGCTAGATCTGGTAAGGATGGTAGATTTCTTTTCTAAAAAGGATATTTGCAAATCGGATGGTGTTTTTAATGACAATTGTTACATAGTTGCCATCAGGCTAACTGCTTCCAGATTTTTATTGAATTCAGATTTTGCTGTCTGCCATGGTGGGATTTATCTGGGGTTCTGGATTACTACCCTAGTGACACTACCAATGCATTACCATTTTTACAATTCCTCTGGTCCTGGCAATTTACCTCCAAGTTTGTTCTCTTTCGAAGAGAGGAGTTTGAGGAGAAATTTAATCCCTGAGAATAAAATCATAAGGGGCATATAGTGGAGTGGGTAGGAAGAGATGACAGTGAAATTGTGATGGGTCAAATTCTGACATTTTCGTTTGTTAAAGTTGTCAATCATTTCAGTTGCAAATCTCATGCTTGTGATAGTCAAAAGTTCAGGACTGGTAACGCCATATTAGCCAAACTTTGTCTAACTTTTCAGTATGACTGTACCAACAATAAGTGGATTTTGATCACACAAGAGAGTGAATTCATAAGGTGCTGGGCAAACCATCATTTGACATTGTGATCTCATTGTGAAAGGATGTGCAAAGCCTGTCAGTATGGCTAATTTTGTGAGAAAGATAAGAGGTTGTCAACCTGAATGGCACCAAATAGGTGCTGCTACTTGTAGTGGGAAAGTCTAAGAAGCCATGTTGCATTCTGAATGTTAAGATAGTAACCACTGAAAAGTCTAATGAATGTTACCTACCTGCCTGTTTCCTGAGCCAATGCTACAAAGGCTACAGAGATTCTTCAGGATTCACAATGCAACATGTAAACTCTGGAAGTATGTTTAACTGTATTGATAACATGATGGACTGAATTGTGCCTGCATGGAAATAGCATGCTAAGCAGAAAATAATTGCAGAATTTTTTCTGATGTAATTCTCAATGTTCTTCAATGTGTAATTCCAGCCTTTCACAAGGTCAGACCATCGGTGTGAACAAATTGAAGAAAGACATTTCCAGATTTACTGCTTTATTGTGTTTTCTTTTGATAGTTATTGTTATTTGTGGGCATAATCTGTTACACAAACACATTTATGTGGGATTGGGACCTCCCTGGATATCATGAAAATCTACTTTAGTGTTCTGAGATTCAACACATTGGGATTTACTGTATTTCCCTTAGAAAAGATGAATGATAAAGGGGCATTACAGAAAATATTATTTGATTGAGGTTGACCAGTAATCTTTTCACATGGAGAGTGTTTGGGTCTGGAGCATGCCACTAAGTATTCCTCCTTCTGCCATTTAAATGTTTCAATATGTTGTTGAGTCAATATGCTGCTGTGATATACAGGGACCTGAACAAAAGCTGGAAAGTGAGGTTAGACTGGATAATTGGTTTTTTGGCTGGCACAGACACCTTGGGTCTCATTTTTAACTGTTAAGAGTCGGTTTCTCAAACCAAATTGATGATGTCATTCATTAGCTCTTCCAGAGATTGATTTTCTTACCTCAGTGGGGATATTGTCTGAAAACCACATGGAAACAGGTCACCTTGCTAATTTATCAATGTGAGAAAATAGAATTTAGAGATTTTTCAAAAACGCCACTGTTTAAATTAATATGATTTATCTATGTAATATAATCATTCAGGTATTAATATGCAATGTGTAAGAACTACATTCAACATCTGTTTATACAGAAATAATTTCCTTGAATTCATCAGTTTCTTTTTGCATCATCTTGTAGGTGGCCTGATGTATTTAAATGAAGCTACCCTCCTGAACAATATCAGAGTGCGCTATAGCAAAGACAAAATATATGTGAGTAATGTGAACTAATTGAGACTCCTTAAAGTTCTGAAAGTGATATGCATTCAGAAATGTACCACACAACAAATTGCCCGTAGTGTCCAGGGATGTTTAGGTTAAGTGGGTTGGACATAGGGAGACGAGTTGGGGTGGGATGCTGTTCGGAGAGGCGGTGTGGATTTGTTGGGCTGAATGACCTGTTTCCACACTGTCAGGATTCTATGATATGATTCTATAACAAGAAGTTATGATGGATTGAATCGCAGACATTTGCATAGAAATAGTTACGATGTATGAGTTTTTGAGCTTATACTACCATTCAGTTGGATTGTGGCAGATCTATATCTCGACTCCATGTTCATGTCTTTGCTCCATATCTCTTGATACACTTTGCTAACAAAGATCTGAGCTATCTTGGTCTTTGAATGTCTCATTGACCCAGCAACCACAGCCGTTGGAAGAGATGATGTGAGAGGAAACAGAGTTCCAGATTTTTCTGCTCTTTGTGTGCATTTATAAAAGCTTAGTTTATTACACTGTCTTGCCATCCCTGTTGACCATGATTATTTGGTTGCACTACCAATAAATGAGTCAAAGGAAAGAGAACATTACCAACAAGCTCTTGAGCTGTTGTCCATTTGGGTAGGTTTTTTTTTTCAAATACACTTTTTTTTTGTTTTTTTTTTCTAAATTTTTTAGGTTTTTTAAATCCGTTTCTGGGATTGTAGGCATTGTTGACCAGACCAGCTTTTATTGTCTATCCCTAATTGCCTAGAAGGCAGTTAAGAGTCAACTACATTGCTGTGGTCTGGAGTCATATGTGGACCAGACCAGGTAAAGATAGCAGATTTCCTTCTGCAAAGAACATTAGTGAATCAGATGTTTTTTTATGACAATAGACAGTGGCTACATGGTTGCCATTAGACCAGCTTTCTGTCCCAGAGTTTTTGTATTGATTTGAAATTTCACCATCTGCCATGGTATATTCAGAATACAGGAATAATGAGAGAAAAAGTAATGCCCATTAAGGGACCACAGTGGTAACTTGTGTGTGGAGGCAGGAGATTTAGGTAGGGTTCTAAATGAATACTTGTGCTCACTAGTGAGGCATTGATATGGATATAGAAATCAGAGAAGGTGTGTGGTACAATTAAAGAAATTAGCGTTGACTGAGAAGAGGTTCTAAGTGATCTGGCAGGCTTAAAAGAAGATAAATTTCTAGTGGCTGGTTTAATGTATCCCAAGTTGAGTGAGACAAGGGAAGAAAGAGCAGGGGCACTTTAAAAACAAAAATTTCTGGCCTCTCGAGAGCTGCTGGAGGAATGAAAGACAGCCAATGTGATATCCTTATTCAAGAAGGGGGCAAGGGATAAACCATAAAACCTCAGGCAGGCAGTCGTGCCTCGGTGGTGGGGAAACTATTGGAAGCAATTTTGAGGGACAAAATTAATCTGATTTGGAAAGGTAGGGATTAATCAAGAATAGTCAGCATGGTTTTGTTAAGGAGAGGTCATGTCTCACCGACTTGATTGTATTTGTTGAAGAGATGCCCACGTGTGTAGATGAGGGCAATGATTTTGATGTAAACGACTTGGATTTCATCAAGCTTTTGATAAGGTCCCACAGGGGAGACTGATAGCAATGACCCCAAGGGATTAAAAAAAAAATGGCAAATTGAACCCCATTTGACTGACTGGCAGACAGCAGAGAGTGATTGTTGACTGTTTTTCCTGTTGGAAGTCTATGTCCAGTTGGGTCCCACAGGGTTCGGTGTTGGGTCTTTACTGTTGGTGTATATAAATAATTTAGCCTTGGATGTAGGTCAAGATGTTGATCATTTGCTGATGAACCAAAAATTGGTGGGTGGTAAATTGCAAGGAGAATAGAGAGGCTGGTCTGATGGGCTAATCAGTGGCAAATAAAATCGTTGCCTGTGCTTTGGACACACTTGAGATGAACAAAATATCAGACAATTTGCAATTCATTGCAATATAATTTACAAAATATATTAAAGACGCAAAAGAGGCCGTATGGCTGAATATAATCTAAAACCCTGCTCTTTGGCAATAAAATTTCCATTTCTTGCATTAATTACTCTACCAATTGCAGAGTTAAGTCTTTGTTGCAATCATTATCGAAGGACCACCAGACTAGGGCTGGGTACTACCCATGCAGTTAAACTTGGCCAGGCTGTATAGTCGGCTCTGACAAACTTGGTGAAGGTTGATCCCGCATGTAGTTGTCTCTCTCTTTCTCTCTTTCCGCTGTCTGTTTCCCCTCTCTCGCTCTGTGTTTGTTTCCTCTCTCTCTCTTTTTTCTCGCGCTCGCGCTCACGCTCACTATTCCACCACCGCATTCCCC